AAAAAAAAATCAGATTTCAAAATAAAAATTTTAAGTTATGAAAAGAGAAGAAGTAGGAGAAGTATTTTTAATTCAACATTTACAGAGTGAATCAGTAGAAGAAGTGTTAGTCATTTATTTTGCAACAGATTGTATAACGAGAAGAAGTAGTAAGAGTAATGAAATCCTTTTATTCAAATTTACGGATTGAATTACGAGAAGAAGTGGTTGTAATTGATATAAAACATAATGCATCACGAGAAGAAGAGGAAAAATATTGCTATACTATAAGTATCAAGATTAAAGTAGTAAGTTTACTCTTAAATGAAAACACTTTGAGAAGATTTCATCTGTGAAATAAAAGTTTTATAGTCTATTTATTTTGTTAAAGATATTCATTAAAAAAATAAATAAGGTTTTAATATATATATATATATATATATATATATATATATATATATATATATATATATATATATATATATATATATATATATATATATATATATATATATATATACATATATATATATGTATATATATATATATATATATATATATATATATATATATATACATATTTATATGCATATATATATAAATACATACATACATATATATATATATATATATATATATATATATATATATATATGTATGTATGTATATATATATATATATATATATATATATATATATATATATATATATATATACATATATATATATATGTATATATATATATATATATATATATATATATATATATATATATATATATATATATATATATATTTATAATTGACCTTAACACACACGCAAACACACACACATATTTATAAACTTATTACAAGATAGTAGTTTTGCTATAAAAAAGTTTTTTTATGATGTCTTTTACTTTATATAGCATTTTATTTTATGCAATAGTTTATTGCACTGTTATAGGTAGTAAACAAATCAATAAGTTAAACTAGATCTGCTACATCACATTATATTAAGATTAGTTTAACAAGATTAAAGTAAAATTCACGCAATAAGTAATGCTGAAAATAGTAATAAATTATATAAATGCGACTTTGAAAATGCAATAAACTTTAGTGAGGATTAACGCTTACACATTAGCCTTGGAGAATAAAACTAATATAAAAATTTATATCTTGATATATCGAAAGTTTTTGACACATTTCACAACTATCTCCTACTTCTAAAATTAAAAGCTTATAGAATAGATGACAAACTCTACAATTGGTTTGAATGTTACCTAAGAGATTGTCAGTAGAGTATCATTGTTGGTGATATATACTCAGAATTGATAATAGTAAGTAGTGGGATCCCCCATTATTAACTTGTATGATATATATTAATGATTTTTCTGATTTTGGTTTAAGATGTTGGTCTGTATTTACAGATGATACTAAATTATACAATTTGCTTTTTGATAGCTCACCATGCAATAACCTGCAAAAAGATATAAACATTATAGCAAACTGGGCAAAACTATGAAAACTAAGTTTTAATGTAAAAAAATGTAAATTTATGCCCTTAAGACCAACAAATACAAAATTCATTTATATACTTGTCGATAAAAATCTCAATACTTCAATTAATATTAAAAACTCTTTTGTCAATAAAGGGATCTTTGTTGACAATAATTTGACTTTTATTTTGTTAGTACAAAGAATAATATTAGCCGATAAAATTGCTGGAATGATCAAAAGATCATTTGTCAATCTCAATATCTTGACATTTTGTACTTTGTTTATTTTCCTTGTTCGTCCTCACCTTGAACCTTGCAGCTTTGTCTACTATCCCAGGCTTTAAAAAGATTAACAATTATTTGAAAATGTTTTTTTGCAAGTCTAGTAAATCTGTTTTTGGCCAGACTGGACTCACTTACAACCAAAGACTACTAAGACTAAATTTAACTAGCATGAGCTATCGTTTCTTATGTAATGGCAGAAACTTACAAATGCATTTCAATGTTTATAAATGTAGTTACAACCCTTTTGTTTCCACATTAAATACCATTCAGTATTTTATTCATCAAACCTGTGTTAGAGTGATGTCATCTGCACGGCTGTTATATTTATTATTGTATTTACAGACCATTAAGTAGTTACTCTGAGTTGTAATAGCACGCGTATCAATATGGTCGCTTCTTAATATTAATATATATATTATTTATTCAGTATTTATTCCTCCGTTATGACTAACCCCAACTTAACAACCTGCGGTCATGTTTATAAATTGAAAAAAATGTTTTGTAAGACAGATGTCCAAAAAAATTTTTTTAGTATGCAATTCACAAATTTTTAGAATAGTCTACCATCTAAAATAGTGTGTTCAACACCTGTCACAACATTTAAAAAACATCTAGATGCATATTGGGTACATGTTTATATAGATGCATATTGGCTACATGTTTATATGCTTTTTTACAATATACAATTGCATATAAACAATTAGACCAATACAATGTATCTACAATAGAACAAAAGGTTGATAGGCTAATTTTATATACCTAGTTATTCTATTTGTAAAATTATAACCTTGGAAAATAATAATAACAACAACAATAATTATAACAATATGTTATATCAATACTCTTATAATAGTTATTTTCCTAAAGAAATTTTAAAATCCTCTAATGTCAAGTTTGTTGACATATCATATTTTAATGAAACCAACCCTAATGCTTAAATAACAAATGCTGTTTATCATTTTTTTAATTCTTAAATAGTAATGTTATACAATTCACTGTATGTTTACTGTAGTATGCCAGTAAACAAACTCTTTTTTTAATATAAAGTATAATTTTATTTATTGTAGAAATAAAATTGATATGAAATTGAATTTCAAATTAATTAAACACTGAATAATTTTTATGTTTATTTTTTTAGTGTTGTATATTAAAAACACTTTTTTTTAGTGTTCCATAGCTGAAAAAAATATTCTATGCCTGGCTAACTCATTCAATTGAGAATGAGATCTTAATCTCATGCTCATTTAAATCTTGTAATCTCGGGGTAAAGATTTACTTAGAGCCTCAAGTTTGTTGTCTTCAGGGTGCATTTACTATGGCTCTTTAGCTTTAGTAAAGGCAACCTATAATGGAGAATGGAAACACTGATAAAAATAAAACTGTAACAAATATTTTTAACTCTTCCTTAATGTCATATTTAAATAAGAAAATGTTATTATGGAAACCTTTCCAAACCACGCAAACTTTGAAATTCACTTTCTTTTACTAACCAATAATCAAACTCTACTTGAAATAAAAAAGCAATTACATTTTACATTAAAAAATGAAACTCAATAAATTTTAGACTAATATTTTCAGTTAAAAAAAATGTCTGAAAAAAAAAGTTAATTTGAAGTTTTTTTATATCATAAATTTATTTGTTATGATTTTTTTAGCTGTTGTACCATTAAACTAAAGATGGCATTAAATTTTGGAAAATTTGCTCTGGCTGAATTTTTAAATCAAAAGACAACAATATGTGCCATGAATGTAATCTGTTTTTCATGGCGGATCAATGAAAACTTAGTGTATAATGGCCAAATCATCTTGCCTTTAGGCTGCCATTTGTGAAGCCGCGCTTCTAAAAGTAACTGAAAGCAGCTGAAAAACAGAATTTTTGTTTTATTTTGGTAATTGTCTTATTTACAATATTGTTTTTGTTTTATTTACAATATTGTTTTTGTTTTTGATCTAAACAGATTCAAAACTAATTTGATTCAAATATAGAATGAAAATAAAAATGCAATATATAATAATAATAAAAATGTTCATTGTTTAGTATGGTTTCATCTTTTCTTTACATTTTTTGTGACAGTTATGAGACTGCTTTAGAACGGATAGAAATGTTAGAGTTTACATCAAGCGTTGAAACAGCTGTTGATAGTGATGAAGAAGAATTATCTATGCCCAGGGCCGCCGAGAGCTGTCACGCCGCCTGGGACAGCAATCCTGATTGGCGCCCTTATTTATCAAATTTTTCCATTATTATATATTAAGGACCTGCTTTTTTTTTTTTTTTTAAGACACCTAAATTTCATTTGGCGCCCCTTAGATATCTGCCACCCGGGACAAACTGTCCCGGTGGCCCCTCCCTCTTGGCGGCCCTGTCTATGCCTCCAGCTTAAAAGGTTGCAGGTTACAAAAAAAAGTGACACTGATGAGATTGTCTATCAGTTTCTCAAAGGTTGAAGAAATCTTTAGTGTTTTAGGGTTAAATGTTTCCATCAGAGCTTTGCTTGACCATCTCTTTCGATTTATTGAATTTATTTGCCGGTTAAAGAGATAAAAAGATCTTCTAAACTTTGAAGAAAAATTATGGAATAAAGGTACCTTATGAATCGATAGTATGTATCAATGAATTAATATTAGTTAATAGTTTTTGGAAACAGTTCCATGTACTATTAAAGTTTCTAATTTTTAAAATGTATAATACTTTCATATGAAACATACAAACAAATGATACAATACGATACATGATTGATTAAAATTATATTGTATATAAGAATGTTTTATATAAATGCCTATTACATTTTATTGTGATTTCTATCTTTTATTCCCAGTTAGCAGTGTGTTTTGTGTAGCTATGACTACTAATCTCAGACATCTATGACATCTGCAGGGTGTATTCACCACAGCTTTTTGCTGTTTTTTGGCGAATACAACCTATCTTGCAGAATTTTATACTACTGTGTAAATGTGGTCAAGGGTAGGAGAAAATTAGAAACCTGAAAGAAATTCTTAATGGTATTTATAAAGAGTTTTATAAAAAAAAATCAGTCCTGATCTGCAAAATCTATTTATAATAAAATAAAAACCTATTTATAATCAATTGCTTTTACTCTTTCATAATGTCATATTTTAATAAGAATATCACCTTATGGAAACCTGTCTAAAACACACCCATTTGAGGAACCATTAAACTTTTATTATAACCAACTATACTACTTTGCTTTTTATTTATTTTAGATAAATAAAAAGCAAAGTAGTATAATAATCTTCTCTTCCTTGAATCGGATAGAGAAGATTATTAAAAACAACAACTTATCAACTAACAATCTTAATACAACTAATGTCTAAAAGAGTATGTTTGTTATACTCAATGTATGGAAACAAAGGTCATATTAGGTGAGGCACAATTTTTGTATTCAACATCCCATTTCCTTTTAATAAACAAACATTTTAGTAAAAGATCATTATTTTACACTAATAGTGCGGGAAATACATTGTATTCGTTCAATTTGAAATCGCTACTGACAAAAGTATTAAAGAAAGAATTGGCAGCTTTCTCGCCACGGCCATTGATAGAGATGACGGAAGAAAAAATAGAACCATGACTGAGAAACGCCCAATATTGAGCAATTAAAGTATCGGCAAAATAATTTAAATCAATGTCCACTACCTAATAGCGAGAGTATAATGCAGTAGTTTATAAATATATATATATATATATATATATATATATATATATATATATATATATATATATATATATATATATATATATATATATATATATATATATATATATATATATATATATATGTATATATATATATATATATATATATATATATATATATATATATATATATATATATATATATATATATATATATATATATATATATATATACATATTTTTTGTGTATTTAAATAGCATTGATTTTATTCTGTTATATTTTGGTTTTTTTAGCACTCCATGCCTCTTTTTTTCATTTTTATCTGTTTCATATAACTTTAAATAAATTTAATGGTTTACAATTTTTTTTTTAAAACGTGTTCTATGGTCATTGTCATCTCCTTGTCTACAACATGTTTTACTCAAAAGAATAATGCAGCACTATAGTATCATTTAAACCAAAAAAAATTATAAAATTTAATTATTAAAAATTTGTAGAAGACAATATTTTTTATTATTATTTAATCATAAAAATTTAATCGAAAATACTCAATACATTTACTTAATTTAGTTATATCGGGATAATGTTGTAAACTTATATTGTAAAATTATATTGTAAATTACGTCAATATTGGCCAGTATTATATCCCCATTATTGGCGCGATATTATTTACAATATTGGCGCAATGTTTTAAACATTACAAGAAGTCTTAATGGATATTGGCGCAACATTGTACCGCGAATATTGGCGCCAATATTACAATGCGAATATTTTGGCAATATTGACTTTACGATATTGACAAGGGAGGGGGGGGCTATAGCCCGGGCCCCGCAAGTTTAGGGGCCCCCAAGAAGTCTTAATCCGCCACTGGATATTGGCGCAACATTGTACCGCGAATATTGGCCAATATTGACTTAACAATATTGGCGCAATATTGTAGCGCCAATATTGGCCAATATTGGCAAAATGTTCACATTGCAATGTTGGTACGATATAATTTAAAATATTGCGCGAATATTGTAGACAATATTGCTCCAATATTGTTTGCTACTTGAGTCTTATAATGGAAAACATCTTGTTTTTCTTGAAAATGTTGATCTAAATGTTGATATTTTTTAGTGATTCAATTCAAGAAAAAATAGTTTTTAATTTTGTATTTGTAAATATATGTTCGTTTGATGGTTTAAAACATTCGATTATGTTATTATCCACTCTTTAACAATGTAATACAACAAATACCTTCTGTATTATTCATTTCCAATAAATTGTCTGTATATTTTAACTAAAATTAACAATAAAATTTTGAATGAAAACATGGCGGACCAAAAAATGGAGCAAAACACTTGCAAAAAAGGCGCGAAAAAAACTTTAAAACGCCATAATTACTTAATAGGAGTTTTCTGATTTGGTGGACTATATACATAGTGATAAGTAAACTATACTCTTTCAGAAAACGTTGAAATTAATTTGGCCACAATTCAAAAAACCTAAATTTAGTTAAGGCGAACTGTGTAGGCCTTCCCGTCGCGAATCCGTATTTTTTACTGGGGCGGACAAAGGGCAGAAAATATATAAAATGGCTAAAAAAGTTAGCGAACTAATCCATTATTTTTAGTTAGTTTACTAAATTTTAAAAGTACTGTATTAATGCACAAAATGCCTATTGCAGCGCTTATTAAATATAATCAAATTTAAATAAGACATTTTGAAAAAAAGAATAAAATACAATATTTTTCAGAATAATGAGTTGTGATTGTTTATCTAAATCACGAAAGAATTAACAAATTTTAAAATAATGTAAAGGAAAAAAAAGAAAAAAACATCAACATATACATCAATAATGTTATAAAAAATTGTACATAACTAATAATAATTGTACATAACAATAACTTTTAATATTATACAGTTAACTTAAAAACCTTCAATGCAGGTTTCTTATTAGACTTTAATAAATAAAGCAAACAAACAACGATTATTAAGAAATATGTTTGATAATATTGTACCATGTTTCTTTAACATACTAAAGTTATAAGTATCAGATATCATCACCCACTGCACACAGCAATCAAGAGATATATTCAATACACTGCGGTCTATAGTTTTTATAAATTCTCCATATAACTGAAAATAAAATGCAGTATCATTAAACAAATCATTTTCACTAACATCATCTTTTCTTGTACTATAACATGCAACATAAAATAAAGCCATTTTGTACTGAGTGACAAAGAAGATTCTAGTTGAGGTAATTGATTAATGATGTCATGAGATTTTTCACTTATGAAATAGCCACATTTTTGACAAGAATGCTCGATTTCAATAGCATAATCTGTAACATCAACTTTTAACTGCAATAAAAGTTTAGGTTTTAACGTAAACTTTTATTGCAGTTAAAAGTTGATGTTACAGATTATGCTATTGAAATCGAGCATTCTGATGTTACAGATTATGCTATTGAAATCGAAAACTCTCCAAGACTAACATAATCAAAATTGTTTTTTAGCAAATATTTACACATCTCCATGAATCCATAACATGTATGCCAAGTACTTCAATTTGGCATACATGTTATGGATTCATGGAGATGTGTAAATATTTGCTAAAAAACAATTTTGATTATGTTAGTCTTGGAGAGTTTTCAACAAATTACATTGAAAAAGCATTTAGTAAGTTAGACAAGGTTTTTTCAACAGATTACATTGAAAAAGCATTTAGTTTTAGAAAAGGTTCAGGCGGAACATACTTTATAACAGTTCAAAATGTTGTTTAACTTTTCAACAACATTTTGAACTGTTATAAAGTATGTTCCGCCTGAACCTTTTCTAAAACTAAATGCTTTTTCAATGTAATCTGTTGAAAAAACCTTGTCTAACTTACTAAATGCTTTTTCAATGTAATTTGTTGAAAACTCTCCAAGACTAACATAATCAAAATTGTTTTTTAGCAAATATTTACACATCTCCATGAATCCATAACATGTATGCCAAATTGAAGTACTTGTATCTCTAGTTAAAGATTTCATTCTATGATCTTGTTCATCACTCATTTTAAATGCCATATCTCCAAAATCAAGTAAGTACTGCAAATTTATGTCTAATTCTTCAAAAATAACTTTCTTATGAGAATCTTAAAATCGAATATCACCATAAATTTCTTTTACACTTACATTTTTAGTAACTTTTAAAAATAAATAAAATGAAACTTTAATAATAGAAATAAAAGAAATAAAAAAATATTAAAAAAAAATAAATGGTTTTATTTATATTGCAAGGGTGGATAACTTTTAAATAAGTTTTAAGAGCAACTATGGTTTCATCGCAAAATACTCTATAATAATAGCAATGTGATACATTTTCTACTCTATAATAATAGCAATGTGATACATTTTGTCTTTCAATGGGTTTTGGATGTATAGCTACTAAAGTTAGTCTTGATAACTTAATTAGCTGATCTTTCTCAAAATCAAAGGTACATTTAAGGTCACTCCACTTAGCAGTCAAATTTTGGTCCTTTTCAAATTATAATTCCTGCATTTTTTCTGCAATCCAGTTATTCATAATAATGAGCATATTAAAAAGTAGAAAAATTCTACATTTTTCCTTTAACTCTCTGTAAAACTCCCTTAATGGTAAAAATTTCAATAATGATGATGTCAAATCGTACCTGGTGCAGTTTTATGCTGATAATAACCAGACGTTTTATGAACGTGGAATTATGATGCTGCCTGAAAAATGCCAAAAGGTCTATGTTCAAAATGGGCAACACATTACAGAATAAAGTTATTTCGTTGCATGAAAAATTAGTCTTTTATTTTCTAAAAAAAAAATCGCCATTACTTAGTTGCAAACCCAATAAGTATTGCCGTGATTTCAACAGAACGGCTTTTAGCATCGTATACTATATCGTATACATTTTTTTACCACCCATCATGGCGGATATAAAGTTTTGCTGACGTTTGGCGTTTATATGAATATCATGAATTTTTTTTTTTTTTTGGTAACAATGGCAACTTTGTTTTTATATTCACAAGGTAGATAAATAATAATTACGAGGTAAATAAATAATACTTACGAGGTAAATAAATAATATTTACGAGGTAAATAAATAATATTTACGAGGTAAATAAATAATGCTTACAAGGTAAATAAATTAAACTTACAAGATTATAATGAGAAATTTACTTGCGAAAAAAATATTTTGTACGTCTTCACTCTGTCCGATAAGGCACTTAAATGTTTTTATTTTTAAGATCAAAAACAAAACAAAAGGATTACAATAATAAATTTAAAAAATCAAACTTGAAAATTTCAAAGCTTTACCCTAAAAACTATTCTAAGATTAAAGTTTGCATTTTAAATGGAATTTACAGTATGCAACAGACTAATGGGTGCATTGGGCAATTTATTCAATAAACTATTACGATGCAGTACAGATTATTTGTATACGAAAGAACATGCGCAACAATGATATATGATATAGAACCATGAATTCAAAAAATGTCTTATTGTGTGTACTCAACTCCTTCCTCTAATTTTCCTCGATTATCTACTACAGTAATGTCTATTTTTGACGGAGAGGTTTCGTTTAAGAATTCTGTCTTTTTAATTTCATCTTCTATAGTAGGCCAACTGTCTTCGTTGTCTGGTGATGTTTTTTTCATTTTCACCAAACGCTCATTCAAAGCTCGCAATGCTTTTTTTCTAAATAAAAAACAAACATAAATTAGAAAATAAAATTAGAAATCTTAATAGTGAATGGCAATAGTGAATGAAAACATATATTTTTAACAAGTAGCTCATCAAATAAAAACCTTCTTCTTTCGGCATCAACTGGATCGCTACCAGGTAAACTTATAGTTATACTGGATGGAGCTCCAACATCATAAGTTTTGACAGGATTTGTACAAACTCCAATCTTTACCATTAAACGAAACAAATTGTTTGATAGAAATCGAACAGGAAATCTAAAGCGATATACCGGAAATACAAAGCAATAAGTAAACATTATACAAAAAAGCAATATGTATAACATGATACACAAAAAAAAAAAAAAAAATCCAATAAATACGAAATTTCAATTATTAAATGAAATATTTATAACCTTATTTTAAAATGATCTTTTGATTTAATCTTATATGTTGAACTAAGCAACACCATTATCCCCTAATAATAGGAGCCCATGAAAAATTTTGAAGTGGTGTTAGACATGTCGTAATATATTTAGTAATTTCCATCAAAGGTACTAATTCCTCCTTATCAAAAAATATGTGCAAAACTATAATAAACTTTGTCATGCATTAAATTTTATGAGTTTTGAAAAATCACTTTTTCATTCAATATTTAGATTAGTTGAGAATATTTTAGGAGTACTTAAAAAAGTGTTTTCTTTATTTATCATCTGGCAAAATTTTATGATTTAAGGTTTTAGAGCATATTAGTTGGATGTGTGAAGTTTTAGAGCATATTAGTTGGATGTGTGAAGCCATAAGCTGCTTTTTCTGAGAGCGCAGGAAAGGTGCGCACGGTTGAGTACATACGCATTGACTTTATACACTTAGTTGAGATGTTTATATTTAATATTTAATTAATGTTAATGATGTTTATATTTAATATATAATTTATATTTAATATTTATATTTAATATTTATAATAATTTATATTTATATTTAATATTTATATTTAGTTAAGATGTTTATATTTAATATTTATGTTTATATTTCATATTTAAGGTTAAAACAACAATCTTACTGCTCTGACTTGGATATTATTAGTCAGGTATCAACTTACACGGTATTAGAGCATGATGCGACTATCATATGGTTTTTTAGGTAAAGATGTCATATTTGAGGTTTTCCAGTAGAAAACAATAAACTCAATAATATTTACAAACATTAAACTATTATATGGGCTTTTGTATGGATGTGTTGGTAATATGAACTCTAAATATAATGAAAGTTATACTGAAATTTACATCATTAAACACTTCACTGCAGTAAACTCAAAAAGGTTTTTAAGAAATCTTTTACAGACACCATTTTTCATTATATTTCGGTTCTCATGGCATAGGGATCGTCCATAAATTACGTCACGCCTTTTTTGACAGATTTTGACCTCCCCTCCCCCTCGTCACAAATTTTAACACTTAAAAAGCAAGTTCTGTATGAGTCGTCACAAAACTACCAACCCCCCCCCCCCCTTATAGCGTGACGTAATTTATGGACGACCCCATAACATAAAAAAGTGCAAATAAATAAAAACTAAATTAAATTCTGAATAAAATGTAACTTTTTGTTTTTTACAGATGTAAAAAGATATATATATATATATATATATATATATATATATATATATATATATATATATATATATATATTATATATATATATATATATATATATATATATATATATCGTCGCATGAGAATTAAAGGGTTGTATCTGCCTTGTTTTAAGTTGAAAGAATTTAACAACCAAAGTTTTAATTAATAATTAATAATAAAAACAAACCACTTAAAAAATGATATATTAGATATCATTTTTTAAGTGGATTAATATAAAATATGTTAAATAATTAATTATAGATAACATAAACAACTTATAATTTATAATTATAATGAATAACAGCTGTAAAACATGTATTAAATAAATATTGAAAGTTAAGTTCTCACAACATAAAAAAAGGCAGAGAGAACCCTATAATTCTAATGTGACTATATATATATATATATATATATATATATATATATATATATATATATATAATATATATATATATATATATATATATATATATATATAATATATATATATATATATATATATATATATATATATATATATATATATATATATAAATCAAACCTTGATTGAAATGATTTAGAGCGGTTAAAAATTAAATTTATTATGATAATTTTCGATGCTCACTTTTAAAACGTTAGTTTTAAAAGCGACATCTTTTAAAGTTTTTGATTTTTAAATTTTGTAAACTTATTCTTCAATACATTTTTATACATATTATAAAGGTCTTATGTTTTATTATAATTATAAATATTCTACAAAAACTATTGTAATTGTTTTTAAATTAATTTACAGAATGTGAGAA